CCACATCTTTGTACTTCTAAATTGTGCAGTTAGAAGTTATATTAAGTCACCTTAATTTGCAAATCCAGAGGTCAGAAAAATTGGGGGAGGGGAGCCAGGAAGGGCAGTTTGGTAAGTTCCCATCTAATTGGCATAGTAGTATGTATGGCAGATTTCCTGGGTGAAGGACAAAACTACAACTGGGACTTCAAGTTACAAATGCAAACAATGTAACAGTCATACATACGAACCCTCCTATTAATCCAAAATAATAAAAAAAAGAATTAATATTGCCATTGTATGTTGTTGCTTAGTATGGAATATCTGTATGCTTGTAAAATCACAAGCTATCTTTTTTATTTTGTCTGATGTTCTTCTATTAGTCTCAGAGGTATACTAGCTTGATTTGTCTCATGCCTTGAGGTTTGCATATTCCAGATTCCTGGGCTTGTGTGATTTCAGAGTATTGGGTTGTTTCTCTCCCATCTTATGAAGTCAGGTCAGAGAATGTAATTGCTTAAAGCAATTCAGACTTCTTTGCACTGAATATGGTGTAGACTGTTGGATTTCTTAGCTTTTTACATTGTATACACTTGGAAATTTTCCCCTTTTAGAAACCCATAAAAAGCTTAAATAAAAATGTTTTGAGTTACCAAGAGGACAGGTGATAGAAATCAGTATGTGAGCAAAGCTGCCAATACTGCTCCACTGGGGAGAGAAAAATTACTGAAAGTCCAGCTGTCTTGTCCAGAAAGTCACAGAAAAATTCCAAAGGCTGTTAAGGGTTCATAGAGCATTTGAAGGTTCACTTTGGGACTTGGAGAATTTGGATACAGAAGTGATGACTCAGAAGCCAGCTGGCTTATTTACATAACCATTTGGCAACTTTAAGAAGGGAGGGAAGTAGCAAAAGCCCTGGAGGCTGGCCAACAGGCAAAGATAATAAGTATCAAGGACCTAGAAGGCATTACTGTATTTCCTCTTTGGTTTTGAGAATGATCGTCTTTTAACTTCAGCATTAATAAAGCTAGAAGAGGAAAAAAACAGTGTCGAAACGAGTAATAGAGGTTATAAAACTATATATAACTTACAGAAAAGATGAAAGTTATCTAAAAGCTGGTTGTATACAAATGGCACCCATCACTATATCTTTGTCTTCTGCTCAGTTTGACTTAACTCCAAAAGCCTTAAGGAATACAGATTTCTTGAACAGTGGCCATTACTCCAGAGTCTTTGAAAAAGGACATCCCCCCACTAGAAATTATTACTGTAACAGGTTCTAAAAGAAGATGTCATGCTTTAGGTATTAGATGGACAAGTTATTCTCAAAAATACCAGCTGTTGAGCAGATAAAGGGACAGTGGTAGGAGAATCTGACTCTGGAAATGTTCGGAAATAATTTTAACTAAAAATTATCCCTCCCAATATAACATCAAATATAACAGGATGAACTAGTGTTTATTATGCACTGTTATTATCAGACAGTATTGGGCATGTTCAGGGTGGTATGGCCATAGACTGTGCACTGTTGTTATCAGATTACCATATTTGAAGATAATATCTTTTGTTCCCTTAGCATTCTGTTACAGATACAGAGAATAATACCTTGATGGCAGATTATAGGCTAGGGTTTTCATAGCATTTCTTAATTATTTTACTATATTTAATGGGTCATTACAATAACCGTGTAAGATGAATATGATTATTCCCATCTTTTAGATTGGAAAGGTTGATTGTGAAAGGTGGAATGATGTATTCCAGGCACTTTAGGTAGCACCATTGGTTAAAAGACAAGTCCAAATCACTACTTAACAACTCTCACAAGGATGTCCAACCTTTTTTCTTTTCTGTCACACATTGGACAAATAAGAGTTGTCTTGGGCCAAACATAAAATACACAAATATTAATGAAAGCTGATGAGCACAAAAAAAGGTCCATGTGTACTTTTCACGGTATCTGACACCACACATAAGCAAAATAGTCGTCAAGTAATCTGCATGTGCCCCACTGGTCATAGGTTGAACACTGCTGCCAGTTTATTCCTTGCTTTCTCATATTTCATCATATCATTTTATTTCAAGTTCATTTTAGACGATCTATTATGCTTTGATAAATTATTCTGGGATTATATCTACCACTTATCACTCAGTTTTCTGAAAGTACGTTTAAATTTTTAAACATGAAACAATTGTGGAGAATGTAAATGTGCAAAATGGGGCTTTATTAAAGTTTGTCTATACAGGATTCCAACTTCTAGTTCTTAAATGTAGAGCCACACATGTAAATCTGGAATTCAGGGAATTAGTGGAGAAGGTAGTGCGCTTAACAGGGGTGCAGGAGTACCTAGAGTGAAAATTATGTCTAGCGGGACAAATTGAATGGAATGAGAACTCTGTCTGAGGATGTTTTAGATAAGAAATGGGAGAAGAAATTGATGAGAAATGAGAGTGCATAAAGGTGATGGAAATGGAGGCAGAAAAATAGTAGAGATGATAGTGGTGGCTGTCAGTAGGGAATACAGAAAGTTATGAATAAGCAGCCACTGACCACTGAAGGCAGAGCCAGCAGTGCAGACCTTATAAGAATACTTATGCTGCCTGGGAATTCAGCAAAGCAATAGTGTTTCTCTGTTGGCACACTGGTGCTTTCAGGCCACAGTCTTGGGCAGCTGGTCCTGGGAATGGAGAAGGAACTGGTTTGTTAATGCTGTATAAGTAAAAGCTATATTTTGAATAGTGTAGTTGCTATTGAGGGAACACAAGCAACCTGTCAGATCCAGGTATGTTGTGAAAGCCATGCTGTTATGTGATTCTGTTATTGTCTAGTGAAAGGCAAAAAGCCCTAGCATTTAAATGTTGAGTTAATTACAAAGAGAACAGACATGGTGGTAGTTCATCACGTTTCCCTTCTCTGTACAATGTCACTGCTGAGAAATGAGGAAGAGTTATTATCAGTGGTTCTCAATTCTGCCTTCCCACTAGAATCATCTGATAGTCTTTGTCCGTTTCTCCAGAGAGTCTCATTAAATTGTTTGGGATGGGGCCTAAGTAATTTCATTGTGCACTTGGTGCTGTGAACAAAGTTGTGGAGCTGTACCTTTGATACCTGCTGCCTAATGAGACTTCCTAGGTTCAGTTTGTTGTGAGTAGTTTGCAATGAAAGGAGCAGAAAGTGCTCCCAGTTTTAGACCACATGAGAACATAATGAATTGGGCCTTTTCTGAATTTAGGGAAAGTAGCTTTCTTTGATAATGGAGAAGCCATTTCTGTCTAATAGCTAAAAGTACACGATAGTCTGTACTCCAGTAGGTTTTACAGTATTGATAATATATACCAATTTATATTGATGGTAAAACCGTTATGGCCAGTCTGCAGGTTGCAAACCTTGGACTGACATACAGCTTGAACTTAACACTTACACTTATGAACAGGGGCTATTACAGGCAATGGGTAAGTGTACCTGTTCCAGCTTACGTACGTATTCAATGTAAGACCAAATCCACATAACCTATCTCGTTCATAAGCCAGAGGCTACCTGTATATCCTGACAGATGCTATGTAATCAACCCTTCTTATTCAGAGTAAGAGCTTATTAGTTGTAGGTATTTTCTTCCATACAAATAGGTTCTTCCTGGATTTAAGGCTGTAGTACCTTGGTTTCCAAGCTTTTTAAAACAGCAAAACTGGCTC